GTGCTAGTGCGCATCGGAGCACAGCGTTTGCGCAATCAAGGATTGTGAAGTGTCGAAATTGCATTTGAGGACAATCTATTAAACGTTCGTAAGGGAAATGTAATATATTGTCAAGAATTACTTGACTGGATCGGCATTAATATCAAATCACGGTACTTTTAGTATATTATCTCGGATAACTTAACAATTCCGTTCCGGTTCTTAAAGGCAACAAGAAGCGCACAAATTCTCTCTACACACAAACTAATACGTTACCTTTCTGTTGTCGATGTAAGCCTAAAACCCCTTAATAAAATAGTCTAAGTCCATCTCAGCAAACTGGAAATGTTTATCTAGTCGTTCAGTTGTCTAAAAGCAATTTCTACATGTGTTATCGTCTCGATCTTATGGACTCTAAATATTAATAATGCAACAAAATGTCGAAAACATTTAAAACAACCTTCAGTTTCTGCGAAAAAGTGTCCCTTTTTATGTTCAGACCTACTGTTTATCAGCAATCGACAGCCATGAAAATAAATAGATAAATTAATAAATAAAAATAATGATAACAAATCGAGATTTAATCAGTTGTGCTTTGTAGTCTGCACCTTTACATATGTGTCTCTCTTTGTGATCGGTATGGCGAGTACTGAGGTAAGCTCCTGCACTCCGTGCTTGTAGTGTGTTGTGTGGACGCTAGCGCATCTTTCCTGGACCTTGAAAACCGCTCCTTCATCAGCTTAAGCACTCGGGTCTTGCAGATGAAAGCCACGAATACGTATACTCCTTGAAGAGTCGTAAGGATTACGAAAGGGTAGACAAGCGCTTTGTGAATGAGCTCCGCACTGAAACTGAAAAACCAAGTAAAGCCCATCAGGGAAATCAGGCGCACGTAGATTTTTAGGACGGCTCGTTGGTCCTGTCGGGATGATTTTACCCTGCGTGTCTGCGTTCTTGCATTGTTGATGGCCCACACGGTATGAGAAAAGGCTATAACGTTGTACAGAAGGACACAAGCTATCGGTGTGGCAAAGGCGACGATCTTGGCATTGCTGTTGACTAGCCAGCAGGCGTCTTGGTTACCATAACCGATGAAAACAACGTGAAACTGATCAAGCAGGACACAGCCGATGACAAAAAGCAGTGGAACACCCCATGCCGAGCAACTGTAGGAAAGGAATCGCAGATTCCGACTCTGTCCAAGAGAACGGCTAGGAGCTTTGGAAATCTGACTGGAGAAGGTTCGGCGAGTGTCAAAGGCTATAACGGCAGTGCACGCAAAAGACACCAGAATAAGGTAGTGAATAATGGCTGCTATGACACTACAAAAAGTTGGCTTGTCGGTGTCTCCAGAACCAAAGAGCCAAATGAACTGCGCCAGGAGGAGGGCCAGGCATAAACTCATCAGGTTTTTACCTGGAAGTGTTCCTCGAAGCTCATTAAAGATACAGTGTATCAGCAAAGTTAAGACAAGCGCACAAATTGATAGAGAAAATCCAACTATGGTAAAATATCGCAGGAAAGTGCTTTCCAAAGCAGTTTTCGTCTCAGGGTGAGGAATTGCTGTAGTGTTAGGAATTGCTGTATAGTTAGTGCAAATCCAAGCCTTTCCAAGTTCATCCACCACGTTATATTCTTCCTTTGTGTATTTTCTGCCTGTGCTGGTATGCAGCAAACTATCGTTAGCTACAATCCTGTACTCCGAGCTACTAACCAGCAGCAGCTTGAATGGACACAAAACAGTAAATTTAGATCTGCACACAACCAAGGAATCGTTGCTACTGTTATTGTGTTTGATGAAAAACTTGTTTGAGGGAAGCAATTCTGCAGTTTTATTTCCAATACCGTTTACTAAAGCCTGCCCAGTTGCAAGTAGAACGAATTCTTCTGGAGCAAATTCTTCTGGCTGTGCACAAGATAACTGCCGATGAGTGATCCTAAGGACTATCCAGGTCTTGTTTTCAATTACAATTGGGAAGGATTTGTTAAAGTTTAGGATGACAGATACATTCAAAGTCTCGTAAGATACATTGTTTTTAGCAGTTTTCAAACTCCCGGAGTACAGATTGAAATTAACGGCGGTGGATCTGTCTTCTTTTGCAATAGATATGACATCAATTTGCGAAGGATCTAGAGCAAAACTCGAACAAATGGCGTGTTTAAATTCTTCTGCACTCACAGCCCATTCGCTCTCGTCTGAAGGATGCATCCAGAGTTTTACACGGTAGCTATCGCGAACTGCCTGGAACAGTTTGGAAGGATTCACAATAGAACCTGTTTCGCATGTCTCCAAGTGCGGATCGAACACTTTGTTGGTTGGACAAGTTGCCGTAATCGAACTAAGCTTCGGCTCTCGTGTTCTTTGATCTTGGTTCTCTTTCTGGTTGAAGTCCATGATAATTTCAAATGATTTGGGCTTGAAAAAATCTCCTTTTTCTTCAGGACCACACTGAGAAGTGTTCAATGAAATACCATTGCAAAGCAGACAATGAATGTTTTTGTAGTTCTTTCTCTGTGTTTGCGAAAAAACCAGTCCACTTTTGCCGTTTATGCATCCGTCTTGATGCTCATTGGCGAGTGAGCATGTAGATATCATTGGTAAACAAGTTCGTATTTTAAAATATTTGTTAGGTCTTAGGATCCTAGTGGGGCAGTACTTTAGAAAAAAGTTTAATTTCTCCTCGTCGCTGTAGTATGAGGGAGGAGCTCTGATGTTACAACGAAACTTTAACTGCCAAGAGGGTAGAAGAATGGCAGGCTCATTGTTACAAATGCCACAGTAAATATTTCTGTATTGCGTACCGTCGTTTCGAATGAGACTAGCCACTGGAATATCTTCCACGATGTTTTTGGAGGTAAATGATCGATTCGAACTCTTTAACCCTGCCAGACATTTGCTGCGCACATCCTCATTTCCATTCCAGTTAGCTGCACAAGTTGTGATCATGTATATGCCTTTTTTCTGACCAAACTCAGTGGATAATTTCACACAGGAATAATTGTAATTCCTGCCGAGTGGAATCCCTGGATTCACAGGCTTTGGCTCGCACAAATTCGTAAAGTCTGCGCAACAATCCTGAAACGTCAGACAGTCTTGATCACAGTGGCAATGTGCAGCATCACCATCAAGATCATCCCCTTTAAATGTCTCGTTATCGCATCCTTTGCGACAGGAAAACTTCAGAGGACAAGTGGGAGGAAAATCGTCCTCTCGAGCTTGCAGAACTGCCGTTGGAGTTACAGTTGTTGCGTTGAGTAGCAGTTGGGAATCAGTCACAGAGGACACGCTTACTTCACTTGAATTCTGCAGCGCCTGCAGAAAGGCTAAATGGGAGGTAAACAACAGAACAAGAATTGACGAGCCAACGGAAACCTTCATCATTGTCCTTGCCTGACGAAACGTTTGTTGACTACGATGATGCCGATTCCGACGATCCCTTCGAGTACGTGATTTTTGATGTTTGCCTTATTCGAGGCTTATTTTATACCTCTGGTAAACCGTATATCGTTGTTACGCACTGATTAATTGTTTCCTCTTGACGTCTGACAAAGATTTAATCTTGAGCGTGTCGTGATCCACGATGCCTCTTCTGATCTCTATTCGGTGATATCATTTGTTAACATCATTTCATTTCCCAGAATGTTCTTTTTCCGTTGCAATCAGGCAATCTGCCATCTTTAGGAGCTTTCTCGGGTGAACAGAACGCATGCTGATAAGAGCAAGATATTTTAAGGAAATATCACCCTCATAACGTAAGCTTAAAACAAACAGTAGCAAAAGAGTGTGGGCAACCGGCCTATTTTACCATTTTGTTGCTGTCAATAATGTGTTTGCCTTTGCACAAACTGCGCTCGTTGATCCGATTTTACATTCATCAAGCGTTCAAGGGGTTAAAGTTGTGGTGGTTATCAGAGAGAAAAAATAATTTCCTGAACAAACTTATTGGGTAATCTACTAAAGACTACGTCGTGAATTTCCGGGATGATTGGCCGTGATCTTTTAATATGCGGAGGGAAACCGACAAAGTCGTCACATTAGTGATAACAAATTAGCTACGACTCTCAAGATCCAGCATTGTTCTCGGTAATATGGGAAACAAGCAGGTGGAGATGTACTTACTTCTCTTTTCCCGCTTTGTACTCAATTTTAATGAAGACTGCGCATCAACAACTTCTACATTCTCTCTTTGATTGGCTTTCTTTCAAATGTTTAATTTCAGCAGTGTAGACTTTTCACAGAATAGCTAATAAACCGTTCCGTGGAGCAATAAAAACTGATCAATATTTTATTTATGTATTCCTTCCGAATTTACCTATACACTCTGGACTTCATGAAAAGAAAGGAAGTTAATGGAAAATAGATGACCAATACACGAAGATTTCCTAGACTTTGGAGTGCCTTTTCAAAGGATCATTACAAGTCGTTTCCTCGCCTTTTCATACTTCGTTTATTTGGATTTCATATGTAAAAATTGTCGCAGCAAAAGTGATAAAAGAAAATTAATCATAGGCATAATGTAATAATCGTATTTTTCTGGGGTCGGTAAGACAAAGAAGTGCTGCAAATAAACTAAGGTTTTTACTGTTTGCCGCATAACACACCAATTTGAGGAAGACATCTTCTCTGATAAAACCTTTCCACGCACTATAATGTAGCTTTAATATTCAGTACTAGTGTTGTGTGCACTTCTTTGCCTCGCATAATATTAATTTCCGTGTAAACATTTAGTATCGCTCCCGAGCTGAGAAATTAATCGTGACTTTGTATTGCCTGACATTGAGCCGAAATTTCGTGCTGTGAAGCGAATGAAAGTCAACACCTGTCTGAATTGTAAATAGATCAAAAATTTGAATAATAACCTGCCACCGGCGCAGAAACGTAGATTTAGGATTGATGAATTACGGCGGTGATCAGGGCTGGTTAACGGAGGTAGGAAAAAGTAGCTATTAGGCCTTCCGAATGTTCTCTTCTCCAGTAAACCTGGAAGTGAATGCGAATCCAAAGCTCTAATAGGAAAGATTAAATGAACGGAAAAAGAAAAGAGAAAAAAAAGGTAACAGAAGAGGACGAAAATAGGAATTCGAGTAAATAGGAAAAATAAATATACTTAGAACATATGCAAAATTATAACCAGCATCTGAATTTTTATATTTTTTTGAATGGTCATGGTCGATGCTTTCCCACTGTTCCCCTGTAATCTGCAGTTGCCTAAAACCCCCAAAACTTGTATCGGCCCACCGCGCTTAATGCGCTATCGTTAAACCCCCTTTTTGGCGTCATGGGCGACTAAGCTAAAACAGCCTTTATCTTTTGAAAACATCTTGCGGTAAATAAAAACTGCGTTCTTAGCAAAAAATCTTTGTGGAAACCTCTGTCAGAATAACACATGTGTTCTTTTGCGATCAGTTGGAGTTCGTACGCGATATAAATGATTTCCAGATAATTATGTTAATATAACACGTCTAGAATTGTGCCTTCTTGCTGTCGTCTTGAGGAACCTGTAGAAAATGGGCGCCTTTCTGCCATGTAACGGTCAACAGAAAAATCAAGAAATTAGAGTAAAGAAAGAGACGCGATCCAGCCAATCTTTTTTAATCTTTTTCTTTTTTAATCTACGATTATAAATATTTCGCTTTGGCTTGATGAGTATCAACAACATGCCTTTCTTTGTAGGTCTGACCAGTATTATTTTGTTTTTACTAAGCAGTGTGTGAGAGCCCCGGTATGACTTACAAGGATAAAAGAACACTAGCATGCATGATTTTTTAAACGTATACGGACAACTAATAGTCTGCTTTGTGAAACATCCCTAACCGATTTCTTGCTGGATGGGAAACCTTGCCTACTTGCCGTCAATTACATTACTGGCTGACCAAAACCAAAATTTGGTGTATTTTTATAAGTTGCATCTGCTAGCTCATTTACGAAGAGAGTTTTTTAAGACGGAATCCCCCAGAAGTTCGAGTAACAAGTGGACAAAAACTTTATACCAAGATTATTTACATCGTATTGCAAACTTCTGTAATACTGTTTTAAAGATCTTCTCAAAAAATATCATTTCTAGCAACATCAAACGTCGAAAACAAATGTTGAACTTTCGTATGAAACACTTCAGAAAGTACCGGTGAAATGAAACTGATCATGAAATTGTACCTGTGTCTGCACAATTTCTCTAAACTTTGAAATTTATTTTCTCTCATTCCCATGGGAAATTGTTATTCGGTGTTACGGCAGGCAACTATTTATATCTTTAACTTTAAGAAAATGTGAAAAGGATCGTAAAATACTTAAAATTATTCTGGTACCAGATTTTTGTCCACTAAAAAACTGAAATTGCTCAATTTTCTATCGGATTTCGTTTTAAGTTTGTGGGTAAAAGTTGGACTGAAACTAACAGTTTAAATCTCACTCCGGTTTCTTCCACCCGAATGTCGCTCCGATGGGGTGTTTGTCGACCTCAGATTGCCATCAAACAGCAGTTTGCTGGATTTATCCCAACAATTTTCCAATAATAGTCACATTCTCACGGCGGCGGAGAACCATTCTAAAAGGTTTGGAATACTTATTGGAAAATTCGGATTAAATCCTTTAAGGCGAACAATATGGGCCTGCGTGGCTCGAGCTCTTTTTGACCCCTAAAGGATACCACGTTAAAATGGACGTGAGAGGGTCTTTTTTTATTTTTTCTTCAAGTGTAACTCATAAAGATACCTTGACGGCTACAAATAGAAGCGTCTTGCCCCTAAGTGAGTTCTAACTCCGTGACTTAAAGCCTCAAGCGGGGGCGGAGAGGGACACTGCCTAAACTCGACAACTGTAAACTTGCATTGACACAAAGAAAACAGATATAGAGTTACCTACTCGACCACCACACGTACGCCTTGTAATCGTCAGCAAAATTTATGGCTACATTACGTCTACAATTTTATTGTAATTTTTTTTTCGCTGATAATGCGTGTGAAAACCACGTCGACGATGTCACATAGTATCCTCAGTTTTTTATATCTTTCATGTAAACCAAATAACCGCCTCCATAGATCAAATTTAGAAAATTTAGAAAATCATGCCAAATTTAGAAAATATACAAAGTTCCATATCTGTTGGAAAATATGGAAATCAAAAATTAAACTGGTCAATTTTTACAAAATGACTGAAATGTATGCCATGCCAGAGGGCAAGCGCTTGTAACAGATTAATATGAAACACCGTATATTTTTTTTATTCGGCCTGATAAATCGAGCGGTGAGACTTATTTTATCTGGAATGATATAAAAAAAAAAATCGGACGATTGTGAGTTCGTAGACGCCGAAAACTGAGCTCAGTTTGCGAAGGAGGTCTAAATAACAATAGGAATTCCAAAAGCAATTTATAGTTTTGGAATCTTAGTTTAAGCCATATCTGATGCTAAACTGGCTTTGCTCTGTTTAAAAACTTTTGCGCTTTCTCTATCTCGTTGAAAAGCTAATCGTGAATAGTCGTCTGAGCAGTTCTGTCTCAGATCATCTTATCCCTTGAAAGTTAATAGCAATTCACGCATGCTGAGTCGACTTTCCTCCGCATGTTAGCTAAATATGTCGTAACAAAGGAAATTATGTAAAAGAAAAAAAGCTTAATTTTTATCATTTTTTTAAGTGTGTAATGTTCTCGGTTTTTCCGATTAGGGATTTTTAATCAAAATGATCCATGTTAGCTGCAGTTTGTCCATTTTCTATGTAATTGGCTTTATTTGAAATTTTTAATCAGGGAAAACCATACTGACTTTCGGCGCGCATAATTGTTGATAATTGCCCTATCGAGACCAGCTTTTGTGGCAGGCCTCATAATCAGTTACATTTAATTTTCTAGGAACGTTAAATTGAATCTGTTCTCACGACAAATTAATTGAAAGTAGAAACTAAAAATTATATTGAAAGCTGATGGAAGAATTGGAGGAACACTTACATGCCTGCCTCTTTTTGGCAAGATCAGTAGAAATCGTTTTATTTCGTCTAGGTAGGCTATTTGTTTTCATGTCACAAATTGCTCCTGCAACTCAAACATAGAGTAACAAAAGATGAAAAGGGAAGATATTTCGTATAATTGAACAATATTTAGTCGGTCTAACAAAGGAATCAGTGGATTAATTTGAATTTTGATCTGCAATGTGTTCTTTACCGCAAAAGTAGCTAGGAAAATTGTGCGTTTACCAGCTTCTTTATATTACTTCCACAGATGATATAAATTCGGTTAAATGCTTAGTTACTAATGTTTCGAATCAAGACAAAATGTTCACGCGGGAACGGTATTCATGACAAGTTCAATCTTTTCAGACGTAATTCGTTCATTTGATTCACCGCGCGTACGTGCTGTAACGTGAGACCTGAAGGCAAACCGGAGATCGACCTTGGTCGACTTGGTCAACTTTGAATAATATTCAGAATATGATCTGAATTTTCGTCCGACATTGAGTACACAATGTCCGGTTGAACGTGAGGGATTAACATCTAAGGTAATTATGGTTTGTTTAATTAGTAATAGTAATTGGACCGAGTGGACTACAATTCAGGGGGTAATCGCGCGAGTAATTTCGAAATCGGATGAGCGCGAAGCGCGAGTTCGATTTGTAATTACGAGCACGATTACTCCCTGAATTGTACGACACGAGGTCGATCCAATTACTAATTAATCGTATCGATAACAAAATTTGGGAATTTAAAATGTCTTTTGAGAATTTCGTTTGAACGAAAACGTCTGTGAAAAGATTGCGAAGGAAGCCATAAAGCATGCGTGATTGACGTGCGAATCACATGGGTATCCAATTACAAAAGGTTCAAATTGGATACCTGTTATTAGACACCCACGTGATCGTGCGCAGATTACGTGACAAATAGGCACGTGGAGAACCAATCACGATCGAGAATTCTGTTATAGATACGATTAAATATTTTATCGCACAAGCGATAAAAGGGTGGGAAAATCTACGTAACGCTCCATTCGCACGTTTCATAAATCGAACTGGCAAGAACTGAGAAAGTCATAGTAACACCAACTAAACATGAAGTCAACTCTCAAGTTAACTTTTAAGGTGTGAATAAAACCTTCAGATGTGACCATTTTACCGTGATATGAATCTTTGATTTTACTCAGTCTCATGCAATTACCCAAACAAATCATGCATCTCGAGGACAAACAAAATCCGAAGTTCCTTATATCCCGGCTTAAGTGATTCTGTATTAGCTTTAAAATTCTATTAAACAGAGTTATACCAAACAATCCAAAATGTAGAACTTGGGAATGGGAAAACACGTTTGAAGACTAATTTTAATGCTTTGAAAAGCATTTTGCATTACTTATAAATAAATGCTTTACCTTACCTTTCAATCAATCAATCAATCAATCAATCAATCAATCAATCAATCAATCAATCAATCGATCGATCAATTAATTAATTATAATGCGTGGTTCTTACCCGACAGCCCCATTCTTGTCCCGTCTGTTTATTGTCAAGATAATTAAATTTTCGGGGCTCTAGACCGGGAGCCATCTTTCTGTCAAGAGATGGGTTGCGTGTTTCTAGGTCTTCCTTTTCAAATCGGTTTTCCATGGCTTGTCACTTGTGCGGCTTAGACCCTGCCCGTTATAAGGGTCACAGTTTTCGAAGCGGCGCAGCCTCATATGCAGCGGACCGGGGTTTTTCTGATGTTCAAATTCGAATGCTGGGTCGTTGGAAGTCGCGATACGCAAGGGTACTCAGACTCGGTTCCTGATCGTTTTAGGCCAGCATTTTATTTTTCTTGCATTTCAGTTTCCTGTTAGGCATTCGGCTTTCTGCTTAAACTTTGTGTCTCAAAATTTCCTGTCCCCAAGAATTCTTCTAAAAAAGGTATTCCATTGTTATTTTGTTCCTCCTGCGAGTCAGCTGGGTGGGTCATGCTTGCGTGGGCAGGTGCCCCGCCTGCTTGGCTGAAAGGCTTTTACTTAATTTTGTCCTATTTTCTGATTCAGTTTGCATGGGCGGCTGTCTCCGGGTTAATCACGATTACTATTTTCGGGGTTGACTTGGTGTGACTAGTCTGCATAGCGGTATTGTTTTGGACCCCCAAGTATGCTATGTTTGCAGGGGCGTCTGGCCTACATGGGTAGCTCAGATGATGCGCTAAAAAATAATTTTCCTAATTCTGATACAGTTTGCACGGGCGACTGTGTCATAGATTGGCAGTTTTGGTTCTAGGCTGCCTTGGTGTGACAGGTCTGAATGGGCACCTGTCCCACCTTGATTTGCAGCCATCATAGTAATTTATGTTGGGTTTTGGAGATGTGCACTCCTGCCGCTTGACATTTCATGACCTATGACGTAACCACTGTAAACGGGTTTACTATTTGACCGGAAGTACGCCTGTTTTTCAGCACAAGCGCAAATTTTCATTTGCTCGTTTGCTCAGAAGTCTCAGAAGTGACTGAGAAGACGTTAAATGCAAGTCAAATATATTTTGGGTTCTTGTTTTTGAAAGTATTCTAATGCATTGTTGAATTAAAAAAATTAGCGTTTCGCATTTCTCTCCCGCCTCCCGCCCTCTTAGAACTCCCGCTTCCCGCCCTTTCCTCTCCCGCCTCCCGTACCCCTCTCGCCCCCTATTCTCCCGGGCTCCCGCCCCCCTGTCCTCCTCCACTTTATTGTTGCTCAGTAAACAGAGCTCAGGCGAGGAAGCATTTATAGGGCTATGTTGTTGGCAGAGAG